TCACGTGCTTGCAAGACAATGTCTCGTGAAGAAAATTGATCACTACTAATTACGGCTACTATTTCGTTTATCAAAGGTGCATTGTAGCGCCTTTCATGCTCTCCTCGAGGGGTCCGATCTGCGTGAATGACGACTTTATAATCCTCTTCAGGTAAGTTTTCTAAAGCAGTTTTAAATGTTTTGACTAAAATGTTACGTTCATGCAAGAATCTTTGAATTTTGAACACTGTGTCTCTCTCAACTCCCTGGATAAATTGGCAGCGACGGTCTACCTCAATTTCTACGTCACCCATAAAATATACTTGTAAAAATTTATGCTGTTCATTATTAGCTGGAAAAAGTGAACCTATTCTATGATAAATTTGCCCTTGCACCGTAAATGTAGGCGAAAATCCCGTCATTATTATTTCCCGGTCAACTCCGAAGGACGTCATTTGAAAGCATGAGTTATATTTCCGGATCCTGTTTAAAAAGCGCCGTAACTCATTAGCATCATATAAAAAGAGAGTTTTCAAAGGTTCTTATGGTTCCCCAAGTAACGGAAAAGACACTTTGCCATTGGAACAGCACATGCCTGCGGTCTCATCTTTCCATTTTAAAGCGCTGCAAAATTGACACGCCTTGTCCATCAGTACGATAACAACTAACCTGTGATTTTTATAATCAATCAACGGATCATAATGGAATGCTGCGTCATTAAAAACCGACCAATTGTTTCTTTGAAAATTTTCTCGGCGTTCAGCTTGGAGCTGTGCATTTCCATTTCTTCGCGCCTGTGCCTGTTCTGGTGTTTCAGATGCCCTTATGGTAGATTGACGTTCAGCTTGCTCAATGAGTCTGTGTTGAGTTTCATCAGGTGTTTCCACGGCTCTTAAGGTAGCCTGACGTTCCGCTTGTTCGAATAGCCTTTGCTGACTTTGAGCAGGTGTTTCAGTAGCTCTTAAAGTAGATTGAAGCTCTGCCTGTTCAAGACGCTTTTGCTGACTTTGATCAGGTGTTTCAGTAGCTCTTAAAGTAGCTTGACTCTCTGCCTGTTCAAGACGCCATTGATGACGTTGAGCAGGTGTTTCAGTAGCTTTTAAAGTAGCTTGACGCTCTGCCTGTTGAAGACGCCTTCGCTGACTTTGAGAAGGTGTTTCAGAAGCTCTTAAAGTAGCTTGACGCTCTGCCTGTTCAAGACGCCTTTCCTGACTTTGAGAAGGTGTTTCGGAAGCTCTTAAAGCAGCCTGACGCTCGGTCTGTTCAAGACGCCTTTGTTGACGTTGAGAAGGTGTCTCAGATGATCTAAAAACTGCCTGACGTTCTGCTTGTTCTTGCCTTCTCAGTTCAGCGTCTTCTAAAGTTTCTAGCGATCGAGCTAATCTTTTCGCTTGTCTTTGAGAAGATACTCTTGAAAGGCTGGACTTTCGTTTGCGAGGCATTATGAAGTAACAAAAAACCTATTTATAAATAAACGTTAAAATACCTAAAAGGAGTTAAATTTTCTATTAATAATTTTTTTTTAAAACAAATCCAAAATATCTAAAAGGAATAAATATTCCTTTTAAATATTTTTAAAATCAAAACAACAAAACCAATTCAAGACACAACACGAATCCGAAAACGATAGCCAAAAAAAAAATCGAATCAACTTAAACCAAATCACAAAACATATCGCAGAAAACCGAAATCGAAAGCAGTAGTCAATATAAATATAACCAACAAAAAAAGAAGTAAGTGTATAGGTACCGTATACACTATCTATACTATTAATATTCATTTGAAATATTGTTAAACAACCTAAAACAACGAAAACCAATTCACGATTCCAAATAAACAAAATCCAAAATCAAATCCAGAGTCTAAATATGTGTAAAAGAATACCAACCAAATCAACAAAACCGATCCAAGAAAATACACAAATCCTAAAATGAAAGCCAATATAAATCCATTCAACCTTAACCAAATCACAAATAAAATAACAAACAACCGAAATCGAAAGCAGGTAGTCGAATAAGCTACGAAATAAAAAAAATTAAGCCAAAAGGTACCGTATGCACTATAAGTTGACGCGCGGCTCAATGGCGGGAGTTAAGTACATGTCAGAAAACATTTCGTTACCGCTTTTTAAAAACCTAGTAACGAAATCTAGCGAAATCAATTTAAACTATGTGTGCCGGACGGGCGAAACTCTCCGGAGTAAATGTTGTCGAAGATACTTCGCGAGTCGCTCACGTCCTACACCTATAGGTTCCGGTGGGTACTTTCACTGCCGTCTTTGTGGGTGCCGCCGAGATATTGTGGACTGAGGTTCAAATCAAAATGCACGATTAATAAATACAAATAGCAAGGTAGTGGCCAGCGGTTCGACTGATTGATTAGTCACGAAATTTTATAACTATTGTTTATTGAGCACGGTTGTTGAACTACGGTTGTTCACTATTGGTTGGTCACTGTATATTTTAAAACATTTCTTTAAATTGTACGGTAGTATCAAATATCTATTGGTAGTATCTGGTTTTCTAATACTACTGAGTAGCAGCTATTATCAACTAAACTAGCTGATTTTATCACTTGTGTAACTGCGGATATCAGTTACCACTTTCACTATATGTAACTGCGAATATCAGTTACGACCTTTTTCAGCTAGCTAACACTTTCACTATATGTAACTGCGAATATCAGTTACGACCTTTTTCGGCTAGCTAACACTTTCACTATTCACTATATACTGCTACTAGTCACTTCAGCTACTACCGGATAACACTGCTTGTCACTGGTAGTTCTTCACACTACTACTGGTACTGGGTCCCGAGCCCCTAAGTTAGACTTTGGCTATACTTTACAGTGAGCCGCTTGCCATTTTCCGTTTTGCCTCTTTATTGCATAAACTTTTCACTATGCAAATGGCGTAAATTACAATATTTTCTATACAAAACTAATTGCTACACTAACATGCTATACATCAACAAATCGGTAGTCTGGTACTTTATTAGTATATCATAAAGGTTACTCAAAACATTAACACTGTAAAAAGTCATTAAATGAAATGTCCCAAATTTTCATAATATTTGGGTACATTAATTCTTTGATTTTGCTATAACTACGAAATGCGTTTAATTATACAAAATATTCCTACACTTCCTTAATCTATTAGCCATATGCTAATTCAATGTCATATTTACAACTCTTTTAGAACATAAAATTATTTTCATTATTTTTAGTATGAACTATTACGCAGTTAATTAAAAAACATCTAGAGAGTTCTACGATAAGACGCGCTGTGATTGATCGATTTTTCTTAATACAATCAAAAGTTGTTTATATCACTTGTTATCAAAACGACATTCTATACAAATATACTAAGAGTTATAAACATGCTACACAACTATATTAATACACGTTTTCACCGTTTTGTCAGTAATTTCACTATTAATACAAAAAACTATATTCTTTATCATTTTGTTTCTTAGCGTTGTTAGGCCGTCGCGAACACTATGTATACGTTAGTTAATAAGAACTCTCAAAAAATATTTTTCTTATAATTTTGCACAATTTTTCTTATTGTAATACCGATTCATTCATAACCACATATAAGAACTGTATTAATTTCCGTTCAATAAATATTACTAAGGCTTATTAATAAGGCTTACTAAGAACTGTTTCTACCACAGTTAAGTAATAGTTAAGGGTGAAAGCGTGACAGGTGGTCATAGTATTTCTGATCCATACTTATAATCACTTCTGTAACCCTTGCGGGGTAGGCTGAGCATCAACGGATTACTTAATATCGTCTGCGAGGTTATCGCCTATTTTGTGAATTACAATGCACCAAAACGTTTGAAGAAAATCAGCTGGTGAATTTTATATTTTTAACGCTCTCTTCCCGGTCCTGCGTGGAAAAATACAGATCCATACATTTTTTATCTTAATTTTGGTAAAAAGACATAATAATCCAGATATTCTGACCTTCTGTGTTCGTCCATCGTACCGTCGTCCGTCTTGTAGAATCACGGTGGCTCCACCTAGCTGAATTTAGTTTTTCAACATATTCAATTTTCTCACGGGAATGATATGTTTTTCCGCTGAAAAAAGTATGTCACTCTACAGCCACCGAACTATCCCCATACCAAAATTCATGCCATGCCGACGCTTTGTTGCGACGTGAAAGAAGGACAAACTTTTGCAACATATTCTATTTTCTCACGGTAATGAGATGTTATTCTGCGGAAAAAAGTAACCTATGTCACTCTACAGCCACCGGTCATCCATCGTTCATCGATCACGAATAGATGCACTTCACACATCATTGTTGGTTTCTTTTTCATTTGATCGCTATCTTAGATCCACCATCTTGATTTTTTACCGCCAGCAGTTGATACTTGTAGGTCACTACAACATTTGTTCAACCACCACTAAACTACCCCTTACTTTTGCCGAGTTATAATTCTTCAAAATTGATACGGCTGCCATTTTGTTTTGTTTTTTCACTTGCAATAGAATTTGCCTGGGATGTAGGTTAATATTAGTTAAGACTGAACCCCGCTAAATCTTACCGTTTAGCCGGACAGCAGTAACAACATCTCTTCGAAGAGATCTAAATCGGTATAATCGTTTTCGAGATAAATGGGAACATTCGTTTGCATAAAAATATTTATTGCAGCACTCCCTGGCGAGTCAACATCATAACATCTGTCTAAGGACCATCGCCGATGAGTCCCATACTTTGTATAGAAAACCGTATCTAAATCGGTCCACTCATTTTGAAGATAAATGGAAAAGTTTCTCCGTTTCGTCGCGAGTAAAAATACTCGTAGACGCTAGATAGCCTGCCTAAACGCGACTAATTTGATTACAATGTTTTTGAGGAGTAAACTCTGTTCGTGCATCGGAGCTGACACACACCATTTGTTCAGAGTAATTGCTATCCTGACTATTAACTCGTGTGTTCCCTTAATTCATCTTTATTTATTTAATACAGTTCGGTATAAGCCAGGGCTGGAACAAGGAAAAAATTATACCTGCTTCATTTGGAATTCACCGGCGTCATCTAACTTTAATGTACTGAAGTTTCTGAAACAATTCAATGTTAGAATTAGAATTTAATTACTAAAGTTACTTATCCCCTAAATTGTCCCAAAATATGGCCAACTGATGTTGCCTGTCATGCCCTTTGCGAGTATTTGACCCAACGTGTCTCCAGCAATGCAATGATTTACTTGATTCGTGGTTTCTTCAATTATGATGCACTCATTTATTTACTTTACCAGTATAATAATATTTACTGGATCGAAAATACAGTTTGGATTATTTAATCGTACTATTTAATTGAATATAATTTAAATCTAGATTTACATCCGGACCAGAGTCCGTGTTATCGTCGGATCCCTCTCTACGTTTTGAATCTAACGGACAGTGCCATGACATAGTATATAAACTTGGTTACGTGTTTCTAACCTACGTGCGTTTATGTGCGCTTAGGGCTTTGTCACACTAGAGATTCGCAAGCGAGTGCGCAGCGAGCTCACCACGAGTTCGCAGCTAGCGCATGAAGACACCGCGCAAATAGCGCTATCGACACCATTTTGTAACAGAATTGTTTCCTTGTCAGAATCGATTCTGTTACTGAGTGTCCAAAACGCTGATTGCACGCCAAGAGCTCACTGCGCGCCTGCGGCGTGTTCAGAACGCGCTCATTGCGAACTCGCAGCAAGGTCACTGCGTACACGCCTCGCTTTTAACTCCCTCGCAAATCGCCAGTGTGATAAGACCCGAGCCTCCAGCTACTACACTAATTATAAAAAACATAGCAACATTGTGCATTTTACACTAGTCTTTTGTGATGGTGGACTTGTTCTCCGATCGCCTCTCGTTCTGAAATGTATGTAGCAATAGGTCAGTCGAGGTGCTCCAGCGCGTGAAAGTGCACTTTACATGTCTTCTTAGTATATACGTGGTAAAGTCACGCTGCAACTATATTGTAGTTGTAACATGAATGGATCGGCTCGATCGGAGAAGAACCTCGCTCTCACAGAACACCAGAATAAAATAGCAGCTTAAAGCTGCTGTTTTCCATATGTAGAGAACTGAAGACCATTTTAACTGGAAACATACTAGGTATGCCATGTTAGTCCTGCACTTTTTTCTTAACTGAGGCTAGATGTAGATATCTAAGGGCCAAAGAATTCTCTTACCATCAGGTGGATGTAACTGTGTGCTTAATTGTCATCCTTATTCTATAAAAAAAGTATTCTTATTTTACGCAGTCGTTACGATGTTCTCCTTCAAATCCATTGTGGAATCGACTACCACCAGCGAGTTTCCAAAGAGCTTACTCTTTTTTAAAAGGTAAAATGAAGACATGGCTTAAAGGACAAGCATCCAAGTCAAAAGTTTTAAATAAAAGCATCAGTAAAGTAGTAGTAAAGTAAGAGTAATTAGAGAATTACTCACTTCTTATTAGTTTGTGGAATTACTTAAATCTATATTATATAAAAATTGTTTCTATTATGTTTTTTTTAATATATACTCACTGTGTATTACTCAGCGAATCAACGGTCTTACATCCCTCGGGTGTCGTACATTGTTCCATTTGTTCGAATTGTGACCGACCCTCGAGTAGGCTTTTGGAGGCGTCTGCAAAAATAATTAATATCACTTTTTCAATCTTTACACAACATATTAAGAATGTTTAGTGGTCACCTAGTGGTCGAAATATCGTATTTAATAATCGAAAAAAAAAGGTCTCATAGGAATTATGAATATATAATTAAGTAAAATATTATACCATTACAGTACACAGAATGAAAAACTTTTTTATTCTACACTTTTACAGCTCTTTTGACCCTATCTTATTCGATAAATCTTTAAAAAAATTACATTGGGTGGGTATAGAAAACAGGGTTACCTGAAGCTCGATTTCATCCCAAATTATCTAAAACCCTGTCAACTTGAAGAAACGCCTAAAGCCCTACCTATATTAGTAGATTTACCTTAAAATAGTGCTAAATATCTAAAAGTGGAAACACTGCACGGACGCACGGCATGCATACGAGCTCGCTTTCGTGCTCCAGAAACATTTTAGCACCAATAAAACGGTGCCATTTTGTTTGTTTAATGACCCGGTCCGTACGCAGTAGTTTAATAAGAGCAGCAGGAGGAACAGGCCCGTTAGCTGAAAGAGCAGCAGGAGGAACAAGCCCAACGACAGGAGGAACAAGCTCGCCGACAGGAGGAACAGACCCGTTGGTTGAAAGAGCAGTAGGACGAACAGACCCGACGACAGGAGGAACAAGCTCGCTGACGGGAGGAACAGGCCCGTCGGTTGAAAGAGCAGCAGGAGGAACAGGCCCACCGAAAGGAAGAGCAGATGCTCCTCGTGAAGGAAATTCACGCTAGCTTCGGGAAATAGATAAGGGAGGTGAAAGGTAGGGTTGCTCAACATGACAACTGCCTGTCGGAAGCTGAAACTCGAGCCGGGGAAGCTAACACCCGAATAGACCAAGTGAATCATCAGGTTGACAACGTAATGGCTGACATGAAGAAATCACTGGACTTCTTCATGTCAGCCATTACGTTGTTTGGAAACTTGAAGGCTTTGGAAGCTACTACACCTTCGCTACGTGGGTTCAAAGTACCACCGTTCGACGGGACTTCTTCCTGGTCAGCCTACAAAATCCAGTTTGAAGCTGTTATGAAGGCGAACGGCTAGAATAAAAGTCAGGCCATGACTGCTCTCACACTAGGCGTGCGCGACAAGGCCTTAACAGTTCTGGAAGCTCTCTATGAGGAAGTGACTTATGAGCAGCTCCTTGAGGCATTCGAGGCGAGATATGGCGACGCTCACCTGGAAAACGTCTTTCGTGCGCAGCTTAAAGATCGCGTGCAGCGCATCAATGAAAACCTGCAGCAGTGGGCTCTGGAGGTAGAGAAGCTGGTGCAAAAAGCATACCGGTCTGTACTTGCGCTCATTGAAGGGAACCTGGTGCAGACATTCATCGACGGCATCCGCGACCTTAAATTCAGAGCTGCTTTGAGGCTCGGGCACCACGAGATGCATAAGGACGCCTTGCCCATGCACTGGAGGTGGAAGCCGTGCAGCAGGATCATCGTACCCGTCGCGTCAGGGAGGTTGCAGCAGCTACAGTTCGCGACCACAATAAAGGATACAGCCCTAGGTGCAATGGCTGTGGGGAAAGGGGCCATCTTCGGTCCAGCTGCCCTAAGCGAACCCTAGAAAGGGAAGGTGAACGATCTTAGGAGGGTAGTGAGGTCAACAAAACCGCCCAGCAGCGGCAGGAAAACGAGTAAAGGCCAGAACTGCGGGGCAGGTTCTGGCTGATGTTAAAAGAGCCCCAAGGATCTCGATCTCACAAACCCATGATGGGAAAAGTCTAATCATCAATGGCGAGGTCAACGGAATGCCGTGTAAACTGACACTGGAGCCTCTCGTACGGTTGTTAGTTCCCAACTTATAAGTCAGTTCCTTGGGTACTCCGCATACAACCGAGAACGCATTAATTTGGTAACAGCCACCGGTCAGCGTATACCCGTCCGTGGAGAGAAGGAGATGGAGTTGAAGGTAGGAAACATGATCTACTTGCATAATGCCATCGTGGCTGATATAGTGGACGACTGCATCCTGGGCCTAGACTTTATGAGGAATAATTGTTGTGAGATCGACGTTAAGCAAGGTGTTTTGAAATGTGGACAGGAGGAACTTTTTATGGAAGGTGCGTTACCGGGGAACGTATACAGCATTAAGAAGATTGTTCTTAGGAAACGATTGTGCCGGTTAGTCTTCCTCGAAACCCTGGGCAAGCTCACCGTTGTGTACTTCTTGAAAGAGTAAACAATGACCTTCCATGGAAAGTAGCTCGAATCTTGGTCAGAACCACTGACTTTGTGACGGCCCGTACCGGATTGTGACCAGGATCAACGATGTAACCTACCGGATACAGAAAGGCTCAAGAGGGACTCCTAAGATCGTCCATGTGGATCGACTGGAGCGTTATTATGGGGCCGATAATGCTCGGGACGAGCATGTCTTAAGATGGGGCAGTGTTGCGCACCTCAGTTGATGTTTGGTACCTGGAACTAGCGCCAGTTAAAGTCGGGGAACAGAGCGAGGGCTTTTTAGAAAATGCCAATTTGAACTTTCCATCAACAGCGCCATCTAGTATCGAACAGAAAAATTAAGCTTTCTAGAAGGGTCCACTCTCGAACTTTCTGAACTTAGTCGGCCGGGACCGGTATTTTGCTGGAATATTCTGGATGTTTCGGTGGAAAAGGCTTATTTAAAGCCCTTGCAAGCCGCGATCGGAGCAGTATTGAATTTGGCGAGGCAAGCGAAGTTTCGGAGCGAAATAAAGTGAATCAGTGTGATTTATTATTAGTGTCTTTTAAGTTTAAATTGGTGTTCGGAAATAAAAGTGTAAATTTTGGTAATTCAAACGGCAGTTTTTATTCTCACGAACCTCAAGCTCATAACAATAGCATCGAAAACAAGTTCCAGTAGTGTGACTGTTTACTTTAAAGAAACCTATGTTATTACCACCATGTACTGTAGTAAAACAAGTATTTTTTTCATACAAACTGCAAAAACGCTTCGTACACGGTTTACATGATTCCAGGTAGACTTTCATATTATAACTTTTAGACAGTATACTTTTTTAAATTTATTTCTTTTTTATATGTTTTAAAAGCATAAAAATAAACGTTTAAATCTGTAGTGGGCCACAAAACTCCTTTATTAATGTCATAATACCTTCAAAGTCCCCTCTTAGATCAGGATCAGAGTGGAAATCTTATTTGCTCATAAGCTTACCCGTGGAGTTGTCTATGGTAGGTGTTACAGGAACGGAGGTCTTCGCAGAACTTTCGGTGCTTATCTGCGTATCATTTGGGCTCACGACATTTATTAACCAATTCAATGTGTTGTTGTCGATACCTTCAAAACATAAGAAAACGGATTTTGAAAAAATCACTTTTAAGGAAAATACTTTTTTTATAGAAGTCCGTGCAGTGACGGTGTAAGAATATCCATCGTATATCATCCCTTGGGAGTCGTGAGAGATGACAGAAGTAAAACCGGAATATGGAAGAAGCATCTTCCTGACAACGACTCGAAATAAGGAAAGGCTGCGGTGACCGGACCGCCTGCCATTATCACCATGTTTTTTAAAAAAAACACGATAAAGGCAACGTAGAGCGGCCATAACTTTACGACTAATTTCCGAGATCTGTACTCCTTAGTTCAAATTAACTATGGAATGAGATAATAGTATTAAATTCAATTCTATAAAACTATTCAAGGTCTCTATAGTCGATATTGCTTTAGATTTTGAGGGATTTACCGAAACACCAAATCTACGTAACCAGACACTGATGGCTTCTAAGTTCGTATACCTACAGTTTTCCGATTTCATCCTTTGTATTATCGGAATTGGTGGATTGTCCATATGACCGAATGTCATCAGCATACACATAGCATGAGCAACTGAAGTTATTAGATATTGAGATTATAAATAGCGAAAACAATACTGGAAATAATATACTTCTTCGCGGTACGCCAGCTGCAATGTCAGCTCAATCAGAAAACTGTACCCCTGACGTAACCAACTGTTGACGACTGCGAAGATAGGATAATAACCACTCTAAGTTTGGAGATGAGAATCTGAGACAAGTAAAAATTGATAGGGGGGTATCGTGGCGGACTGTGTTAAAACTATTTGAAAAGTTAACAAGCGCGACCACTGTAACATTCCGTTCATCCATCCCTTTTCTGTCTTCTGTAATCTTAATAAGTGCAGTGGTCGTACTGTGATGAGAGCGAAACTCTGACTGAAAGATATCCAGTAGGTTATATTTTTTTATGAAAATAGATAATTGCTTATGCACACAGGCTTGCAGGCAGACATGCTAGAACTTTAGAGAGGTATGGAGGAATAAAAATTGGACGATGATGATTTATTAGTTCTGGATTGGGTATTTTTCGGAGAGGACGTATATAAGCTCTTTTTTTATAATCTGAGTCCAATGAGTAATTAATAACATGTGTGATAGCTAGCAGAAGGAAGTGAAGCAATATAATAATCATAAATTTACTGATCTCATCACAACCTAAGCCAAGGAACTAGTACAGCTTTATGGCTAATACAGCTTTAACTATTTCATCTTGAATTACAGAAAACGAATACCTAGTCAGAAGTTGCATAAAAGAAATAGAAGCAATGGTTTGAGATTTAACGAAAGAGTCCAACGTAGGAGTTGAGACAAAGTCACAATTTATATCAAGAGATTTTAAGAATCTCCACATATCAGCAGTTGAAGTGTTGGTTAAATTATCATGAATGTAACGGCGTTTAGCATTTCGTACCATCTGACTAAATCAGTATCTTAGCAATTTAAAGTTAGACCAGTTTTCTTCTGTACGTGCTCTATTGTATTCTGAAATACATGATCTCGTCTGATCATTGTCACCTGTACGCCCTTAGTCCCAAAAGGCAAGAGGACGCCTTAGTCTTACTTGATGAACTGGCGCTTGGACGCTATAGAGATTCAGAATAACGGTGTTCAAAAAGGAAAGTTTGTCATCTATTGAAGAAGCTGCCACCAATTGAGCTGAATCAATAAAAGCAACGTCCGTCGTCAGGAGGAGTTGGTCAATATTTAGGCCAGACATTGCGTAAATGCAATATATAAGGAATAGTTTAATTCTGTTTAAATTAGATCGTAGTGTGAATAACAAGGCACTGAAAGCTGTCCGTGCGGGGAAACGGTCAAGAGAAGATGTAATTATGTGATCAATCCATGAATCATCTGTGTTAATATAATGATAAGTAGCTGCTAAAGGAAGAATGCTGAAATAAACTGACTCTTCACTCACTCATGAAATCAGTATTGAAATCCTCCATTATAATACAGTGCATGTATCCGGAATAGGCTTGGTAAAAATTTAGATATGTCAAAATATTGATATTTTCTCATAAAAATATCGATATATATATATATATATATATATATATATATATATATATATATATATATATATATATCGTCGATATTTTACAATCGCGATATATCGATATTCGATATTTATTTTGGAGTATCAAATTTGTAAAAATTGCGATTTATATTTTAATATCTTATATTAATGGACGCTGGTTTGATACAGGCATTAGGGTCTCTTTATAGGGACTCTAGTGCTTGTGTCAGGATCAATGGGGTCTACTCGGACTGGTTTGGCATCCAAAAAGGTGTCAGACAGGGCTGTGTAGCTTCCCCTTGGCTGTTCAACCTATTTATGGACCGGTGTTTGCAAACTTTGAAAGATGAAGAATGTGGTTTAAGAATGGGCGAGTTAACCGTCAAATGCCTTTTGTATGCCGATGATCAAGTCATATTTGCGTCATTCGCGGCTGAGTTGCAAATGATGGTTACATTAATGAACTGGGAATTAAAAGAAAGGGGAATGAAAGTGAACGCAAGTAAGACGAAAGTGATGGTTTTTGAAAGAGAAGAAAGCAAAACGGTATGTGAAATAAGAATAGAAGGAGAGTTAATTGAGCAAGTGGATGAGTTTGTGTATTTGGGATGTGTATTTAGCAGGGATGGTAGATATGATAGGGATATAGAACGACGAGTAAATGCAGGGAATAGAGTGAATGGGGCACTACACTCTATTATGAAGAACCAGAATGTGTCAAAACAGGCACGTATGGTAATTCATAATGCTGTGTTAGTCCCTACGTTAATGTATGGTAGTGAAAGCTGGGTGTGGCAGAAGAAGCACGAAAGTAGAATAAATGCTGTAGAAATGCGTTCTTTAAGAAATATGCTAGGGTTTAATCTGAATGACAGGGTGAGAAATTGCGTGATAAGAGATAAATGTGGTATGCAAGATGATGTTGTGACCAGGATTAAGAAAGGAATGCTTCGGTGGTTTGGTCACGTAGAAAGAATGAATGATGAAAGAGTGACAAAGCAAATTTATATGGCAGATGTGAACGGCCGAGTCGGGAAGGGACGCCCTAGAAAAAAGTTTGTCGACCAAATTGGCGATATTTTGAAAATGGGCCACGTTAGAAGTACCCTTAAACGACGAGCATGTATGCGTAGATATATGGATGTAAAGGAGGCGAAAGAGGTATGTCAGGATCGTGCCAAATGGAAGTCCGTAATCTCTGCCTACCCCTCTGGGTGACAGGCGTGAGTGTTTATATATATATATATATATATATATTAATGGACTACTTTACTTTTATTGCCAACCATACCACCACTTTTATAACCAACGGTATCGAGGGCTGTTCCTAGAGCCGTGAAGTAGTCTACATCAGGACGACAATACACTACCCATAGAACCGCCATAATGACCTTGATGACAATTTCAATAAATTAATTCTCCGAGGAGACTGAATGTCAAACTAGAGGGGCAATCTAAAACTACCTTGTAAGGAATTGTAGTTCTCAGATATATGGCAACATCACCGCCGTTTTTTTTCAATCCTGTCATTGCGAATAAGCACACAATTACCTAAAGGATATGAACTAGACTTTGTAGACGATTTCAATCAGCTATTAGACATTAAAGTAGCGTGGATCTTGCAAAAAGTTACTTCGAAATCTGAAAAATCATTTGTGCATTTATATGACAAACATCAAGATATTTATTACAAGGCAACAAAACACTACTTATTTCTCACGAAGGGACTTCATGCCATCCCGTGTGAGATCACTACAAGAGGAAAACGAATCATGTGCAGAGTGAAATGAATCATCATCTGACATAATTATCGAAATTTAAAATGATTTTATAAATAAAATATAATATCATACAATACAATAAAATATTTAAAAAATTACCGGTTAAAAAAATTAATACTTTGCAAAATCCCATCAGCTGACTGTTTACAGAGAAAATGTTTATTGTAAGTACATCAAGGAGTAAAGTAAATTAGGTAGTCACTTAACATGAGGTGGACCACCTGATGTTAAGTGACTACCTTAGTCCTCAGGGGTGACAACGGATCTGCATTTTGATTTCTAAGGAAAGATAAACGTCTATGGACTACAGAATCCACTTACCATCGGGTAGACAGTATGCTCGTTTCCCTTTAGGTAGTAAAAAAAGATAACATATGAAGGCACTAAGCAATGTGACTACCCAAAAGTTTGAATTAATAAGTAACATTCCAATGGCAATAAAACAAGTTTTTATAAATTATTTAATTTTCTGTACAACAAAACAAATCAATTATCCGTTAGAAGAATATTAAAAATTACTACGCAAATAAAAGTTATTATTATTATAATTTAACACCCACATGAAATCTCGCCTCGCGGTTTTGCTGGCAGACGTTGCTATAGTAGCTATAATATCTGGTGGTTTGCCAAATATCTCTCGAAACCGTTTGGATAAATCCTGCTTGTCCCACTTGTCCCTTATCTAAAAATAAATTATTGCGATATGTCCATTTTATATAAAGTTATTAAAGTTTTAAGAACACGGACGAAGTGACGGGTATCAGCTAATTTTTATCCGACTTCAAAATAGATATCTTGTCGGAAATCTTCGTCAATGAGAGGTTATAATTTAACGCTCGCTGAGCCTCATCATAAGTGATTTACATACGATATTATGCTATGGAAACAGCTGAAATAAACTAATCTAGCCGTTACAATACATTTAAGGTTTTTAATTTTATTTATGCAGAACTAAGTTTGCTAGCTAGTTAAGATATATGTGGGCCCCATTAAAGCTTCTAGATTACTGTGATTCGGAGAAAAACAGTGGCTTCAGCACTGCTCAGCTCAGCTCCTTCCCATTTAAAAGCACACCGGTATTCACCTGCTTAACATTAGGTATGGTGAATTTAATACATTTCGTTTTATTACGGTTTAAAAGCAAATTATTTATGTTAAACAAGTATACTTTTGATGTGGCATTATTCACTTCGTCATATTTCAATAATTGCCTTTTAAGTCGGAAAATCAACGAAGTATCATAAGTAAACAAAACTATATCATGGTAAACCTACCAAGTAATGTAAGACATTAATATAAACTAAGAACAGAAGGCGAAGGGAATTGAGCCTTGAGGAACACCCATAGATACTACTGCTCCGGAAGTCCTGCTCCCATTAATAACACTCTGCGTTCTATTATTTAGATGTGACGTAATAAATTAAAGCGCTAAGTTTTTTTTACACCGTAATGATGTAGCTTCCTGATTAATGTCTCATGATGAACATAGTTGAAATCCTTGAAAAGATCACAAAATATACCCAAAATATCTTTTGAATTCTCCCATGCACAGAAAACATAATAAAACCAAAATCATTTTTATGGAGCAATATATTTACACTAAACTAAAATATGTCAAGATATTTACAACTCCATTTGACATACTTTTCAATAATTTAAATGAAATTCTATTTATTTTGACTAAAAATGATACAAAGAACTCGTCTGTGGTGGCTTAAATATTTATATTCCGAAAAAGAATAAGAATGCAATGGAGCTGGACCGTCTTATTATTGGATAATAATAATAACAATAATATAATTGTTTGTGGTGTATAAGGTTTCGCCTGATCCGAAGACTTACATCATTTGCCATGTTTAATAAATATTTATTTTTGGTATGTTAAAATTATAATAATAATAATATAATAATAATAATAATTTATTGAGAAATAAAGCCTTAAACATAAGACAATGTTATCGCAGATTAATTGTGACAAAATGGCTAGCATAAGGGACTTATAGATAAGTTGATCCCCTGACTTTCATGCTAGGATAACCTGTGTTATGAAAGTCAGTGGTTCGGCTCCTTAAAACGTATTCTATATAACAGCATAGCGAGTTGATTTAATTGGTGATTACATTATTACGAGCATTTGAAGAGCAGGCAGTTAAGGAAAAAGAAAATATAAAAAATAAAATAAAAAAAAATAAAAAAAATAAATAAAAAGTAAAACAGTATAGTGATGATAATGTATGGCATGGGTAGTGTGTGTGTGTGTGTGTGTGTGTGTGTGTGTGTGTGTGTGTGTGTGTGCGTGTGCGTGTGTGTGCATGTGTATGTATACAGTTTGTAGGGTTTAGGATATTAAAGCTTCAGTGGCACTGTAATTTAATTCATTAAGGTACGAAATTACCTTTTTTTTAACTTCGTAGGCGTTCAACTTATTTATCTTTAACGTTTTATCGAGTTTATTGTATAACCGCGAGCTTGACGAGGATAATTGCTTTTTAGCAAAAGAAGTCCTACATGTTTTGACAGGACATGCTGCTTTTTGACGTCTCCTTGGCGTGAAAGAACTATTTGGAGGTACAGTAGAGTGTAGATGCAAAATTGAGCGAAGGATGTAAAGTTGCCTAACTGTAGGTACATTACAATCCTTATAAAGTTGTGCGGTCGGGTATCTCCAAGGCCGCCTAAGCATAACCTTTAACATTGCCCTCTGTGCGCGCTCAACTTTAATGAAGGTAGTCTTAGAGGCACAACCCCATATCGGGATTGAATTAATATTATATTTTTGGTATTAGTAATGTATTCTCATCTGCTTGGGCTGAATAAATATATAAAAGGAAATGATAAATACACATAAATATATATTTCATATACCACGACCCGAGAGGCTGACTGGGATTAGCCCGTTTGCAGAAACGACTACAGGAATAATTTCAGTCGGCATACCAGCCCACATGTCGGTCACCTCGTGAGCCAGGTCCAGATATTTTGTTTGTTTATCTGTTTCGGCTTTCACGAGGTTCTCGTCATACGGAATGATAATGTCGACCAAAAATATCTTAGGCTTATTCGCAAGAATAGTCCTGTCTGTGATGATGGCCCGGTCCCAGTAGAGCCTGGCGCGATCATTTTCGAGCACGGTTTCCGGCAAGTACTTGTAATACGGCAATTTCCGGTCCACGATACCGTATTTCAGAGCGAGCTCCTGGTGAAGAATTCTGGCTACTAGGTTGTGCCTGTGCAAGTACTCAGAGTTAGAAAGCGCCGAACAACCGGAGATGACATGCCTAAGTGATTCGCCGGGATGGCGACAAGCTCGACAGATGTCGACGGTGCCATCCTTTAGGATGTATCTTCGATAGTTGTTGGTCTTATTAACCTGATCCTCACACAGACAAAACCCTCGGTTTCCCCGAAGAGGTCACCAAAGCGTAGCCAGTAGAGGGAGGCTACTGTGTCTACGAAAGGCTCAAGTAGAGCCTTGTAGAACCTCCCGTGGAGCTCCTTCTCCTTCCATACGTTCTCCCGGTCGGAAATGCTCTGCACTGTCGGGTCTAGCCATTGCTCGTTAGCTAAGGATAGAGGAGTAAGTCCTTTATCACAAAAAATGACGTCCTTATAGAATGGATCATCCGATCTCACCAGGAAGTAATTACGGAGGCTGCACACTTCGCGATTATGCATGGTGAGCGCGCTCAAAAAGCCACGCCCACCATGCTTTCGCGACAAGTACAGCCTTATCACGGATCTCGATGGATCTCGGATGATGCATCCTATGGGACGTCATAGTAGTGCGGACTTTTCTATCCAGGGCGTTAAGTTCAGTCTGACTCCACCTGAGTATGCCAAAGGTATACATGAGGACAGGCATGACCCAACCTTTATATGCGTGTGTCTTATTCACACCAGACAAAAGGCTGTATTATATTTTTATTATTACATTTATTAAATTGTATATATACAGATTTGTCAAGATTTATTATTCAATTAAGTTATCTATAGTGTTATTTATGTCAGTCTTATGGTTCTATTTAAAACAGATATATGATTTTCAATCTAGAATTATTAAAAATATTTTATCCGCAAATATACGTGTCCTAATTGGTGATGATGAAAATGCGATTTCTAAACATTGTAAAATCTTATCAATTAGTGGCCAAATTAAATTCATGTTATTAAAACAATATTTATTTTGCGATAGTATATATATATATATATATATATATATATATATATATATATATATATATATATATATATATATATATATATTTGAATTGATTGATATAATTGATTTCTTTTGTATACGTTTTAGAACCATAAAAATAAACTTTAAAATCTGTAGTGGGCCACAAAACTCCTTTATTAGTGTCATAATACCTTCAAAGTCCCCTTTTAGATCAGGATCATAGTGGAAATCTGATGTGTTCATAAGCTTACCCTTGGAGTTGTCTATGGTAGGTGTAACAGGAACGGAGGTCTTCGCAGAACTTTCGGTGCTTATCTGCGTATCGTTGGGGCTCACGACATTTTTTAACCAATTCAATGTGTAGTTGTCGATACCTTCAAAACATAAGAAAACGAATTTTGAAAAAATCATTTTTAAGGAAAATACTTTATTTATAGAAGTCCGTGCAGTGACGGTGTAAGAATATCCATTGTATATCATCCCGTGGGAGTCGTGAGAGGCGACAGAAGTAAAACCGGAATATGGAAGAAGCATCTTCCTAACGACGACTCGAAATAAGGAAAGGCCGCGGTGACCGGACCGCCTGCCATTATCATCACGATTTAAAAAAAAACATGATAAAGGCAACGTAGAGCGGCCATAACTTTACGACTAATTTCCGAGATCTGTACTCCCTAGTTCAAATTAACTATGGAATGAGAAAATGGAATTAAATTCAATTGTATAAAACTAGTTCAAGGTTTCTATAGTCGATATTGCTTTAGATTTTGAGGGATTTATCGAAACACCAAATCTTCGTAACCAGACACGGATGGCTTCTAAGTTAGTACATAGTTTTACGATTTCATACTTTATATTACCGGAATTGGTGGATTGTCCATATGGCCGAATGTCATCAGCATACATATAGTATGAGCAACTGAAGTTATTAGATATTGAGCTTATAAATAGCGAAAACAATACTGGAAATAATATACCGCCTTGCGGTATGCCAGCTGCAATGTCAGTTGACGACCGCGAAGATAGGAAAATAACCACTCTAAGTTTGGAGATGAGAATCTGAGATAAGTAAAAATAGATAGGGGGGTATCGTGGCGGACTGTGTTAAAACCATTTTAAAAGTTAACAAGCGCGACCGCTGTAACATTCCGTTCATCCATCCCTTTTCTGTCATCTGTAATCTTAATAAGTGCAGTGGTCGAACTGTGATGAGAGCGAAACTCTGACTGAAAGATATCAAGTAGGTTATATTTTTTTAATGAAAATAGATAATTGCTTATGCACACAGGCTTGCAGGCAGACATGCTAGAACTTTAGAGAGATATGAAGGAATAAAAATTGGACGATGATGATTTATTAGTTCTGGATTGGGTATTTTTGGGAGAGGACGTACTCGTATCTAAGCTCTTTTTCATAATGTTGGTTACTAACCTGTGTCCAATGAGTAATTAATAACATGTGTGATAGCTAGCAGAAGGAAGTGAAGCAATATAATAATCATAAATTTACTGATCTTATCACAACCTAAGCCAAGGAACTAATACAGCTTTATGGCTAATACAGCTTTAACTATTTCATCTTGAATTACAGAAAACGAATAGTTAGAAGTTGCATAAAAGCAATAGAAGCAATGGTTTGAGATTTAACAAAAGGGTCCAACGTAGGAGTTGAGACAAAGTACAAATTTATATCAAGAGATTTTAAGAATCTCCACATATTGTCAGCAGTTGAAGTGTTGGTTAAATTATCATGAATGTAACGGCGTTTAGCATTTCGTACTATCTGATTAGATCTGTATCTTAGCAATTTAAAGTTAGACCAGTTTTCTTCTGTACGTGCTCTTTTGTATTCTGAAATACCCGATCTCGTCTGATCATTGCCACCTGTACGCATTTAGTCCCAAAGGGCAGGAGGACGCCTTAGTCTTACTTGATGAACTGGCGCTTGGACGCTATAGAGATTCAGAATAACGGTGTTCAAAAAGGAAAGTTTGTCATCTATTGAAGAAGCTGACACCAATTGAGCTGAATCAAAGAAAACAAGGTCCGTCGTCAGGAGGAGTTGGTCAATATTCAGGTCAGACATTGTTTAAATGCAATATATAAGGAATAGTTTAATTCTGTTTATATTAGATCGTAGTGTGAATAACAAGGCACTGAAAGCTGTCCGTGCGTCAAGAGAAGATGTAATTATGTGATCTATCCATGAATCATCTGTGTTAATATAATGATGAGTGGCTGCTAAAGGAAGAATGCTGAAATAAACTGACTCGTCACTCACTCATTTAATTTTTTATGGAATAGGATAATAATAGGATTTCAATACTGTGAAATCCTCCATAATAATACAATGGATGAATGTGGATGGAGGAGCCTGAATATCAAACTAGAAGGGGAATCTAAGACAACCTTGTAAGGAATTGTAGTTCTTAGATATATGGCAACATCGCCACCGTTTTTTTCAATACTGTCATTGCGAATAAGCACAAAATTACCTAAAGGATATAAATTAGACTTTGTAGACGATTTCAATCAGCTATTCGACATTAAAGTAGCGTGGATGCAATCTTGTGAAAAAGTTACTTCTAAAATCTGAAAAATGATTTATGCATTTATATAACAAACGTCAATATATTTATTACAAGGCAACAAAACACTACTTATTTTTCACGAAGGGACTTCATGCCATCCCGTGTGAGATCACTACAAGAGGAAAACGATACTGAGTCATGTGCACAGTGAAATGAATCATCATCTGATATAATTATCGAAATTTAAAATGATTTTATAAATAAAATATAATATCATACAATACAATAAAATATTTAAAAAATTACCGGTTAAAAGTTACAAAAAAAAAATTAATACTTTGCAAAATCCCATCAGCTGACTGTTTACAGAGAAAATGTTTATTGTAAGTACATCAAGGAGTAAAGTAAATTAGGTAGTCACTTAACATCAGGTAGACCACCTGATGTTAAGTGACTACCGCCTTTACTGAAAACGAAGCATTCTATCTTATTCCTCATGGGTGACAACGGATCTACATTTTGATTTCTAAGGAAAGATAAACGTCTATGGACTACAGAATCCACTTACCATCGGGTAGACAGTATGGTCGTTTCCCCTTTAGGTAGTAAAAAAAGATAACATATGAAGGCACTAACCAATGTGATTACCCAAAAGTTAGAATTAATAAGTAACATTCCAATGGCAATAAAAGAAGTATTTATAAATTGTTTAATTTTCTGCACAACAAAACAAATCAAATATCCGTTAGAAAAATATTAAAAATTACTACGCAAATAAAAGTTATTATTATTATTATTATTACAATTTAACACCCACCTGAATTCTCGCCTCGCGTTTTTGCTGCAGGCGTTGCTGTAGTAGCTATAATATCTGGTGGTTTGCCAAATATCTCTCGAAACCGTTTGGATAAGTCCTGCTTGCCATCACCATCTAGATGTTAGTTTTCTTATTAAATATAAACAAAAAATTACTTTCAAAAAGTATTTGAGGTTTGCAGTTGTGCGTGCATCACGGGAAAACTATTGGATAAACTTCAATTAAGTTTTCTAAGTTTTATTTTTTAGACACTTGTCCCTTATCTAAAAATAAATTATTGCGATATGTCCATTTAATATAAAGTTATTAAAGTTTTAAGAACACGGACGAAGTGACGAGTATCATCAAATTTTTATCCGAATTCAAAATAGATATCTTATCGGAAATCTTCGTCACTGAGAGGTAATAATTTAACGCTCGCCAGATGTCACTAGTTGAGCATCATCATAAGTGATTTCCATAAGATAATATGCTATGGAAACAACTGAAATAAACTAATCTAGCCGTTTCAATACATGTAAGGTCTCTAATTTTATTTACAGCATATGCAAAACTAAGTTTGCTAGCTAGTTAAGATATATGTGGGCCCCATTAAGGCTTCTAGACTACTGTGATTCGGAGAGAAACAGTGACTCCCCATTTAAAAACACACTAGTATTCACCTGCTTTACATTAGGTATGGTGAATTTAACACATTTCGTTTTATTACCGTTTAAAAGCAAATTATTTATGTTAAACAAGTGTACTTTTGATGTGGCATTATTCACTTCGTCATATTTCAATAATTGCCTTTTAAGTCGGAAAATCAACGAAGTATCATAAGTAAATAAAACTATATCATTGTATATTCCCTACCAAGTAATGTAAGTCATTAATATAAACTAAGAACAGAAAGGGAAAAGAATTGAGCCTTGAGGAACACCCATAGATACTACTGCTCCGGAAGTCCTGCTCCCATTAATAACACTCTGCGTTCTATTATTTAGATGTGACGTAATAAATTAAAGCGCTAAGTTTTTTTACACCGTAATTATGTAGCTTCCTGATTAATGTCTCATGATGAACATAGTTGAAACCCTTGAAAAGATCACAAAATATACCCAAAATATCTTTTGAATTCTCCCATGCACAGAAAACATGTTTGATTAGCTCAACACCGGCATCAGTTATCGAGTGACCCCCGATAAAACCAAAATCATTTTTATGGAGCAATATATTTACACTAAACTAAAATATGTCAAGATATTTACAACTCCATTTGACATACTTTTCAATAATTTAAATGAAATTCTATTTATTTTGACTAAAAATGATACAAAGAACTCGTCTGTGGTGGCTTAAATATTTATATTCTGAAAAAGAATAAGAATGTAATGGAGCTGGACCGTCTTATTATTGGATAATAATAATAACAATAATATAATTGTTTGTGGTGTATAAGGTTTCGCCCGATCCGAAGACTTACATCATTTGCCATGTTTAATAAATATTTATTTTTGGTATGTTAAAATTAATATTATATTTTTGGTATTAGTAATGTATTCTCATCTGCTTGGGCTGAATAAATATATAAAAGGAAATGATAAATACACATAAATATATATTTCATATACCACGACCCGAGAGGCTGACTGGGATTAGCCCGTTTGCAGAAACGACTACAGGAATAATTTCAGTCGGCATACCAGCCCACATGTCGGTCACCTCGTGAGCCAGGTCCAGATATTTCGTTCGTTTATCTGTTTCGGCTTTCACGAGGTTCTCGTCATACGGAATGATAATGTCGACCAAAAATATCTTAGGCTTATTCGCAAGAATAGTCCTGTCTGTGATGATGGCCCGGTCCCAGTAGAGCCTGGCGCGATCATTTTTGAGCACGGTTTCCGGCAAGTACTTGTAATACGGCAATTTCCGGTCCACGAGACCGTATTTCAGAGCGAGCTCCTGGTGAAGAATTCTGGCTACTAGGTTGTGCCTGTGCAAGTACTCAGAGTTAGAAAGCGCCGAACAACCAGAGATGACATGCCTAAGTGATTCGCCGGGATGGCGACAAGCTCGACAGATGTCGACGGTGCCATCCTTTAGGATGTATCTTCGATAGTGTTTGGTCTTAATAACCTGATACTGTATTGCACAGACAAAACCCTCGGTTTCCCCGAAGAGGTCACCAAAGCGTAGCCAGTAGAGGGAGGCTACTGTGTCTACGAAAGGCTCAAGTAGAGCCTTGTAGTACCTCGCTTGGAGCTCCTTCTCCTTCCATACGTTCTCCCGGTCGGAAATACTCTGCACTGCCGGGTCTAGCCATTGCTCGTTAGCTAAGGATAGAGGAGTAAGTCCTTTATCACAAAAAATGACGTCCTTATAGAATGGATCATCCGATCTCACCACGAAGTAATTACGGAGGCTGCACACTTCGCGATTATGCATGGTGAGCGCGCTCAAAAAGCCACGCCCACCATGCTTTCGCGACAAGTACAGCCTCATCACCGACGATCTCGGATGATGCATCCTATGGGACGTCATAGTAGTGCGGACTTTTCTATCCAGGGCGTTAAGTTCAGTCTGACTCCACCTGAGTATGCCAAAGGTATACATGAGGACAGGCATGACCCAACGGTTATATACGTGTGTCTTATTCACAGCAGACAAAAGGCTGTATTATACTTTTATTATTACATTTATTAAATTGTATATATACATATTTGTCAAGATTTATTATTCAATTAAGTTATCTATAATGTTATTTATGTCAGTCTTATGATTCTATTTAAAACAGATATATGATTTTCAATCTAGAATTATTAAAAATATTTTATCCGCAAATATACGTGTCCTAATTGGTGATGATGAAAATGCGATTTCTAAACATTGTAAAATCTTATCAATTAATGGCCAAATTAAATTCATGTTATTAAAACAATATTTATTTTGCGATAGTATATATATATATATATATATATATATATATATATATATATATATATATATATATATATATATAATTATTCTACATACAAATTACAAAAACAAGTTCCAGTGGTGTGACTGTTTACTTTAAAGGAACCTATGTTATTACCACCATATACTGTAGTAAAACAAGTTTTTTTGTTTTATACAAATTGCAAAAATGCTTCGTACACGGTTTACATGATATCGGGTAGACTTTCATATTATAACTTTTAGCCCGTTTACTGTAATAAATTGATTTCTTTTGTATACGTTTTAGAACCATAAAAATAAACTTTAAAATCTGTAGTGGGCCACAAAACTCCTTTATTAGTGTCATAATACCTTCAAAGTCCCCTTTTAGATCAGGATCAGAGTGGAAATCTGATGTGTTCATAAGCTTACCCTTGGAGTTGTCTATGGTAGGTGTTACAGGAACGGAGGTCTTCGCAGAACTTTCGGTGCTTATCTGCGTATCATTGGGGCTCACGACATTTTTTAACCAATTCAATGTGTTGTTGTCGATACCTTCAAAACATAAGAAAACGAATTTTGAAAAAATCATTTTTAAGGAAAATACTTTATTTATAGAAGTCCGTGCAGTGACGGTGTAAGAATATCCATCGTATGTCATCCCGTGGGACTCGTGAGAGGCGACAGAAGTAAAACCGGAATATGGAAGTAGCATCTTCCTAACGAAGACTCGAAATAAGGAAAGGCCGCGGTGACCGGACCGCCTGCCATTATCATCACGATTTAAAAAAAAACATGAGAAAGGCAACGTAGAGCGGCCATAACTTTACGACTAATTTCCGAGATCTGTACTCCCTAGTTCAAATTAACTATGGAATGAGAAAATGGAATTAAATTCAATTGTATAAAACTAGTTCAAGGTTTCTATAGTCGATATTGCTTTAGATTTTGAGGGATTTATCGAAACACCAAATCTTCGTAACCAGACACGGATGTTAGTGGAGACGGAGGAAGTTAGTACATAGTTTTACGATTTCATACTTTATATTACCGGAATTGGTGGATTGTCCATATGGCCGAATGTCATCAGCATACATATAGTATGAGCAACTGAAGTTATTAGATATTGAGCTTATAAATAGCGAAAACAATACTGGAAATAATATACCGCCTTGCGGTATGCCAGCTGCAATGTCAGTTGACGACTGCGAAGATAGGATAATAACCACTCTAAGGTTGGAGATGAGAATCTGAGATAAGTAAAAATAGATAGGGGGTATCGTTGCGGACTGTGTTAATACCATTTGAAAAGTCAACAAGCGCGACCACTGTAACATTCCGTTCATCCATCCCTTTTCTGTCATCTGTAATCTTAATAAGTGCAGTGGTCGTACTGTGATGAGAGCGAAACTCTGACTGAAAGATATCCAGTAGGTTATATTTTTTAATGAAAATAGATAATTGCTTATGCACACAGGCTTGCAGGCAGACATGCTAGAACTTTAGAGAGATATGAAGGAATAAAAACTGGACGATGATGATTTATTAGTTCTGGATTGGGTATTTTTGGGAGAGGACGTATCTAAGCTCTTTTTCATAATGTTGGTTACTAACCTGTGTCCAATGAGTAATTAATAACATGTGTGATAGCTAGCAGAAGGAAGTGAAGCAATATAATAATCATAAATTTACTGATCTTATCACAACCTAAGCCAAGGAACTAATACAGCTTTATGGCTAATACAGCTTTAACTATTTCATCTTGAGTTACAGAAAACGAATAGTTAGAAGTTGCATAAAAGCAATAGAGGCAATGGTTAGAAATTTAACATAAGGGTCCAACGTAGGAGTTGAGACAAAGTCACAATTTATATCATCCAGATTAAGAGAACTATTATCAGATGACAGTGGCTTAAAAATACCAAGAGATTTTAAGAATTTCTACATATCAGCAATACTGTTGGTTAAATGATCATGAATGTAACAGCGTTTTTCATTTTGTACCATATGATTGCATCTGTACTTTAGCAATTTAAAGTTAGACCAGTTTTCTTCTGTACGTGCTCTTTTGTATTCTGAAATACCCGATCTCGTCTGATCATTGCCACCTGTACGCATTTAGTCCCAAAGGGCAGGAGGACGCCTTAGTCTTACTTGATGAACTGGCGCTTGGACGCTATAGAGATTCAGAATAACGGTGTTCAAAAAGGAAAGTTTGTCATCTATTGAAGAAGCTGACACCAATTGAGCTGAATCAAAGAAAACAAGGTCCGTCGTCAGGAGGAGTTGGTCAATATTCAGGTCAGACATTGTTTAAATGCAATATATAAGGAATAGTTTAATTCTGTTTATTCAAGGTCGTAGTGTGAATAACAAGGCACTGAAAGCTGTCCGTGCGTCAAGAGAAGATGTAATTATGTGATCTATCCATGAATCATCTGTGTTAATATAATGATGAGTGGCTGCTAAAGGAAGAATGCTGAAATAAACTGACTCGTCACTCACTCATTTAATTTTTTATGGAATAGGATAATAATAGGATTTCAATACTGTGAAATCCTCCATAATAATACAATGGATGAATGTGGATGGAGGAGCCTGAATATCAAACTAGAAAGGGAATCTAAGACAACCTTGTAAGGAATTGTAGTTCTTAGATATATGGCAACATCAACACCGTTTTTATCAATACTGTCGTTGCGAATAAGCACAAAATTACCTAAAGGATATAAATTAGACTTTGTAGACGATTTCAATCAGCTATTCGACATTAAAGTAGCGTGGATGCAATCTTGTGAAAAAGTTACTTCTAAAATCTGAAAAATGATTTGTGCATTTATATAACAAACGTCAATATATTTATTACAAGGAAACAAAACACTACTTATTTTTCACGATTGGACTTCATGCCATCCCGTGTGAGATCACTACAAGAGGAAAACGATACTGAGTCATGTGCACAGTGAAATGAATCATCATCTGATATAATTATCGAAATTTAAAATGATTTTATAAATAAAATATAATATCATACAATACAATAAAATATTTAAAAAATTACCGTTGAATAAAACTATTATTTACGGATTTTATCGCGTTTAATTACTTTAATTTATTTTTATTATTATCCCGACGTTTCGGGAGCTTTACAGCGCCCATGGTCACGGGGGGGGGACTGAGATGTTTGACGTCCCAATGTCGTAGTTAGTCCGGCTACCTTCAGTTTTTTAATATTAATTTTTGGTCCGATTTACGCAAAACGAGCTTATAGTATCATGAAGTCTTGCAGTGGTATGCTTGGGTTTGGGTTTAATTTTGTTAATTATAGGATCCCAAGCAGATGGTAGCACCCAACCATCTTCTCTATTGAAATTTGGATGTTTTTTAATTTCAATAGCCTCGCGTATCATCCTTGGTAGGAATCGGTGTTCTTTTGCGAGAATTTGTGGTTTATCAAATCTAATGTAATGGTGGGGACGATCTTGAACATGTTCGCAGACTGCAGACTTCCCGGAGCGTCGGTGCTTCACATCAGCTATATGTTCCTTCACGCGGGTTTTTATAGATTTCTTTGTTTGACCTATGTAAGAGAGACCACATTCACAATCTAGCTTGTACACACCTGCATCTTGTAGAGGAATATTACATTTGATGGATGGTAAAAATTCACTAATCTTCTTCAGCGGCTTGTAGTATGTCTTAATGGACGCTCGCTTCAAGATGTAGCCAATCTTGTCCGTGACTCCTCTAACATATGGTAGTAGAGCAGGCGCGCGCTCGACTGTGGCCGGCTTCACTCGTTCATGAATATGTCGGCGACTATGGGAGACACAGGTGAACCCATCGCCAAAAGCAAGCAAGTAGATGGTGTGGCGATGGGCTCACCTGTGTCTCCCATAGTCGCCGACATATTCATGGAGGACTTTGAGGAGAAAGCCCTTCTTACTGCTCCTGTAAATCCAAGGTTCTACAAGCGGTACGTAGACGACACTTTCACAATTTTACCATCTGACAAAGTAACTGCATTTTTAGACCACCTTAACTCCATAAACTCTAAAATACAATTCACAATGGAGTTAGAGGCAAATAATTCTTTAGCTTTCCTAGATGTTTTAGTCATCCGTAATCCTGATAACACTATTGGTCACACTGTGTATAGGAAAAAGACCCGTACCAACCGATATTTAAATGGTGAATCTCACCATCATCCTTCACAGTTAGCTACCGTGGGTAAATCTTTGTTTCAGAGAGCACGAGGGATCTGTGACAGAAAACATCTGGCCGCGGAGCTTCAGCACGTCAAGCAAGTATTGCAAGACAACAAGCTTCGGGTCCCTCGCCTACGTCACAGTGAACGAGTGAAGCCGGCCACAGTCGAGCGCGCGCCTGCTCTACTACCATATGTTAGAGGAGTCACGGACAAGATTGGCTACATCTTGAAGCGAGCGTCCATTAAGACATACTACAAGCCGCTGAAGAAGATTAGTCAATTTTTACCATCCATCAAATGTAATATTCCTCTACAAGATGCAGGTGTGTACAAGCTAGATTGTGAATGTGGTCTCTCTTACATAGGTCAAACAAAGAGATCTATAAAAACCCGCGTGAAGGAACATATAGCTGATGTGAAGCACCGACGCTCCGGGAAGTCTGCAGTCTGCGAACATGTTCAAGATCGTCCCCACCATTACATTAGATTTGATAAACCACAAATTCTCGCAAAAGAACACCGATTCCTACCAAGGATGATACGCGAGGCTATTGAAATTAAAAAACATCCAAATTTCAATAGAGAAGATGGTTGGGTGCTACCATCTGCTTGGGATCCTATAATTAACAAAATTAAACCCAAACCCAAGCATACCACTGCAAGACTTCATGATACTATAAGCTCGTTTTGCGTAAATCGGACCAAAAATTAATATTAAAAAACTGAAGGTAGCCGGACTAACTACGACATTGGGACGTCAAACATCTCAGCCCCCCCGTGACCATGGGCGCTGTAAAGCACCCGAAACGTCGGGATAATAATAAAAATAAATTAAAGTAATTAAACGCGATAAAATCCGTAAATAATAGTTTTATTCAATGTGTAGTGTTCGCGTAAATTTAAGAAATCATTAAAAAATTACCGGTTAAAAGTTACAAAAAAAAAATTAATACTTTGCAAAATCCCATCAGCTGACTGTTTACAGAGAAAATGTTTATTGTAAGTACATCAAGGAGTAAAGTAAATTAGGTAGTCACTTAACATCAGGTAGACCACCTGATGTTAAGTGACTACCGCCTTTACTGAAAACGAAGCATTCTATCTTATTCCTCATGGGTGACAACGGATCTACATTTTGATTTCTAAGGAAAGATAAACGTCTATGGACTACAGAATCCACTTACCATCGGGTAGACAGTATGGTCGTTTCCCCTTTAGGTAGTAAAAAAAGATAACATATGAAGGCACTAACCAATGTGATTACCCAAAAGTTAGAATTAATAAGTAACATTCCAATGGCAATAAAAGAAGTATTTATAAATTGTTTAATTTTCTGCACTACAAAACGAATCAAATATCCGTTAGAAAAATATTAAAAGTTACTACGCAAATAAAAGTTATTATTATTATTATTACAATTTAACACCCACCTGAATTCTCGCCTCGCGTTTTTTCTGCAGGCGTTGCTGTAGTAGCTATAATATCAAATATCTCTCGAAACCGTTTGGATAAGTCCTGCTTGCCATCACCATCTAGATGTTAGTTTTCTTATTAAATATAAACAAAAAATTACTTTCAAAAAGTATTTGAGGTTTGCAGTTGTGCGTGCATCACGGGACAGCTATTGGATAAACTTCAATTAAGTTTTCTACGTTTTATTTTTTAGACACTTGTCCCTTATCTAAAAATAAATTATTGCGATATGTCCATTTAATATAAAGTTATTAAAGTTTTAAGAACACGGACGAAGTAACGGGTATCAGCTAATTTTTATCCGACTTCAAAATAGATATCTTGTCGGAAATCTTCGTCAATGAGAGATAATAATTTAACGCTCGCCAGAGGTCGCTAGCTGGGCCTCATCATAAGTGATTTACATACGATATTATGCAATGGCAACAGCTGAAATAAACTAATCTAGCCGTTTCAATACATGTAAGGTCTCTGATTTTATTTACAGCATATGCAAAACTAAGTTTGCTAGCTAGTTAAGATATATGTGGGCCCCATTAAGGCTTCTAGACTACTGTGATTCGGAGAGAAACAGTGGCTTCAGCAAGCTCAGCTCCTCCCCATTTAAAAACACACTAGTATTCACCTGCTTAACATTAGGTATGGTGAATTTAACACATTTCGTTTTATTACCGTTTAAAAGCAAATTATTTATGTTAAACAAGTGTACTTTTGATGTGGCATTATTCACTTCGTCATATTTCAATAATTGCCTTTTAAGTCGGAAAATAAACGAAGTATCATAAGTAAATAAAATCATATCATTGTATATTCCCTACCAAGTAATGTAAGTCATTAATATAAACTAAGAACAGAAAGGGAAAAGAATTGAGCCTTGAAGAACACCCATAGATACTACTGCTCCGGAAGTCCTGCTCCCATTAATAACACTCTGCGTTCTATTATTTAGATGTGACGTAATAAATTAAAGCGCTAAGTTTTTTTACACCGTGATGATGTAGCTTCCTGATTAATGTCTCATGTTGAACATAGTTGAAACGATTGAGAAGATCACAAAATATACCCAAAATATCTTTTGAATTCTCCCATGCACAGAAAACATAATAAAACCAAAATCATTTTTATGGAGCAATATATTTACACTAAACTAAAATATGTCAAGATATTTACAACTCCATTTGACATATTTTTCAATAATTTAAATGACATTCTATTTATTTTGACTAAAAATGGTACAAAGAAGTCGTCTGTGGTGGCTTAAATATTTATATTCTGAAAAAGAATAAGAATGCAATGGAGCTGGACCGTCTCATTATTGGATAATAATAATAACAATAATATAATTGTTTGTGGTGTATAAGGTTTCGCCTGATCCGAAGACTTACATCATCTGCCCTGTAAAATAAGTATTTATTTTTGGTGTGTTAAAATTAATATTATATTTTTATTATTACATTTATTAAATTGTATATATACAGATTTGTCAATATTTATTATTCAATTAAGTTATCTATAGTGTTATTTATGTCAGTCATGGTCATATTTAAAACAGATATATGATTTTCAATCCAGAATTATTAAAATTATTTTATTCGCAAATATTCGTGTCCTAATTGGTGATGACGAAATTGCGATTTCTAAACATTGTAAAATCTTATCAATTAATGACCAAATTAAATTCATGTTATTAAAACAATATTTATTTTGCAATAGTATATGCATATATACTATCGCAAAATAAATTCTACGAACAAAATAATAACAAAATGGCGGATTTACTAGGTACGTTCCGTTTCATGATCACTTAAGCAAACACTGACAAAATAGCATCGAAAACAAGTTCCAGTGGTGTGACTGTTTTCTTTAAAGAAACCTATGTTATTACTACCATGTACTGTAGTAAAATAAGTTTTTTTTTGTTTCATACAAACTGCATAAATGCTTCGTACATGGTTTACATGATTCCGGGTAGACTTTCATATTATAACTTTTAGCCCGTTTATATAATGATTTCTTATATTTACACGTACATTGATTAAAACTACTTTTACGGATTTTATCGCGTTTTATTTATTTTATTTTTAATACCCGACGTTTCGGGTGCTTTCCAGCACCCAAGGTCACGGGGGACTGAGGTGACTGACGTCCCGATGTCAAAGTTAACCCAGAGTACCTTCAGCTTTTTGATTATTGTTTTTGGCCATCTACGCAGAATGAACTAACTGTGTTTTGAAGTCTTGCAGTGGTATGCTTGGGTTTAGGGTTCAAAGCTGAAGGTACTCCGGGTTAACTTTGACATCGGGACGTCAGTCACTTCAGTCCCCCGTGACCATGGGTGCTGGAAAGCACCCGAAACGTCGGGTATTAAAAATAAAATAAATAAAACGCGATAAAATCCGTAAAAGTAGTTTTAATCAATTTAGCCCGTTTACTTTATTAAATTGATTTCTTTTTTATATGTTTTAAAACCATAACAATAAACGTTAAAATATGTAGTGGGCCACATAATGCCTTTATTAATGTCATAATACCATCAAAGTCCCCTTTTAGATCGGGATCAGAGTGGAAATCTTATTTGCTCATAAGCTTACCCGTGGAGTTGTCTATGGTAGGTGTTACAGGAACGGAGGTCTTCGCAGAACTTTCGGTGCTTATCTGCGTATCATTGGGGCTCAGGACATTTATTAACCAATTCAATGTGTTGTTGTCGATACCTTCAAAACATAAGAAAACGAAATTTGAAAAAATCATTCTTAAGGAAAATACTTTTTTATAGAAGTCCGTGCAGTGACGGTATAAGAATATCCATCGTTGATCATCCCGTGGGTGTCGTGAGAGGCGACAGAAGTAAAACCGGAAAATGGAAGAAGCATCTTCCTGACTCGAAATAAGGAAAGGCCGCGGTGACCGGACCGCCTGCCATTATCATCACGATTTAAAAAAAACATGATAAAGGCAACGTAGAGCGGCCATAACTTTACGACTAATTTCCGAGATCTGTACTCCCTAGTTCAAATTAACTATGGTATGAGAAAATGGAATTAAATTCAATTGTATAAAACTAGTTCAAGGTTTCTATAGTCTATATTGCTTTAGATTTTGAGGGATTTACCGAAACACCAAATCTACGTAACCAGACACGGATGGCTTCTAATTTAGTACATAGTTTTATGATTTCATCTTTTATATTATCGTAATTGGTGGATTGTCCATATGGCTGAATGTCATCAGCATACATATAGTATGAGCAACTGAAGTTATTGGATATAGAGCTTATAAATAGCGAAAACAATTCTGGAAATAATATACCGCCTTGTGGTACGCCAACTGCAATATCAGCTCAATCAGAAAACTGTACCCCTGACGTAACCATCTGTTGACGACTGCGAAGATAGGATAATAACAACTCTAAGGTTGAAGATGAGAATCTGAGATAAGTAAAAATAGATATGAGGATATCGTGGCGGACTGTGTTAAAACTATTTGAAAAGTTAACAAGCGCCACCATTGTAACATTTTGTTCATCCATCCGTTTTATGTCATCTGTAATCTTAATGAGTGCAGTGGTCGTACTGTGATGAGAGCGAAACTCTGACTGCAAGAGATCCAGTACGTTATATTTTTTTATGAAAATAGATAATTGCTTATGCACATAGGCTTGCAGGCAGACATGCTAGATCTTTAGAGAGAGATGGAGGAATAAAAATTGGACGATGATGATTTATTAGTTCTGGATTGGGTAGTTTTAGGAGAGTACGTATATAAGCTTATCATCCAGATTAAGAGAAATATTATCAGATGACAGTGGCTTAAAAATACCAAGAGATTTTAAGAAATTCCACACATCAGCAGTACTGTTGGTTAAATGATCATGAATGTAACAGCGTTTTTCATTTTGTACCATATGATTGCATCTGTACTTTAGCAATTTAAAGTTAGACCAGTTTTCTTCTGTACGTGCTCTTTTGTATTCTGAAATACCTGATCTCGTCTGATCATTGCCACCTGTAAGCCTTTGGTCCCAAAGGGCAGGAGGACGCCTTAGTCTTATTTGATGAACTGGCGCATGGACGCTATAGAGATTCAGAATAACGGTGTTCAAAAAGGAAAGTTTGTCATCTATTGAAGAAGCTGCCACCAATTGAGCTGAATCAATAAAAGCAACGTCCGTCGTCAGGAGGAGTTGGTTAATATTTAGGCCAGACATTGCGTAAATGCAATATGTAAGGAATAGTTTAATTCTGTTTAAATAAAATCGTAGTGTGAATAACAAGGCACTGAAAGCTATCAGCGCGTGCCCACATGGTCAAGAGAAGATGTAATTATGTGATCAATCCATGAATCATCTGTGTAAATATAATGATGAGTGGCTGCTAAAGGAAGAATGCTGAGATAAACAGACTCATCACTCACTAATGAAATCAGTACTGAAATCCCCCATTATAATATAGTGCATGTATCCAGACTAGGCTTGGTAAAAAATATGGATATGTCGAAATATTGATATTTTCTCATAAAAATTTCGATATATATCGTTGATATTTTTAGATCGCTATAAATCGATATTCGATATTTATTTAGGAGTACCAAATTTGTAACGATTTCGATATATTTTAATCTTATATTAATGGAATACTTTACTTTTGTTGCTTAATATTTTATTAAGCAACAAAAGTAGCAACAAAAGCTTTCATGTGCTGTTGTCGTTTTTTTTGCGTCGTCCAACCATTTTTGGCCTTATCCTACATCATGCAAAACATGACGATTTTTCGATATATTGAAAAAATACCAATTATTCACGCGATATATATCGATACCGATTAAAAATATCGATACAATAAATATAGATATATTTTATTCACTCGCGCATCCCTAATGCATACCCAACGGTATCGAGGGCTGTTTCTAGAGCCGTGAAGTATAATACATCAGGAGGACAGTACACTACCCATAGAATCGCCATAATGCTCTTGATGTCAATTTCAAGATATTAATACTCCGAGAGCTCCGAGGCCTGAATGTCAAACTAAAGGGAGAATCTAAGACAACCTTGTAAGGAATTGTGGTTCTCAGATATATGGCAACATCGCTACCGTTTTTTCCACTCCTGTCATTGCGAATAAGCACACAATTACCTAAAGGATATGAACTAGAGTTTGCAGACGGTTTCAATCAGCTATTCGACATTAAAATAGCGTGGATGCAATCTTGTGATAAAGTTACTTCAAAATCTGAAAAATGATTTGTGCATTTATATGACAAACGTCAAGATATTTATTACAAGGTAACAAAACACTATTAAATTTCTCACGAAGGGACTTCATGCCATCCCGTGTGAGATCACTACAAGAGGAAAACGAATCATGTGCAGAGTGAAATGAATCATCATCTGACATAATTATCGAAATTTAAAATAATTTTATAAATAAAATATAATATCATACAATACAATAAATTATTTAAAAAAATGACCGGTTAAAAGTTACAAAAAAAAATTACTTAATATTATGCAACATCAAATCAGCTGACTGTTTAGATAGATAGATAATTCTTATTATTATTATACACCAAATAAATACATAAACGAAAGAAGAAGAAAAAAAATAGTGTCACAATGGGCGGTCTTATCTCTAAAAGCGATTTCTTCCAGACAACCTTTTACATAGAAAATGTTTATTGTAAGTACATCAAGGACTTAAGTAAATTAGGTATAGTGTATTTTTTAGTTCCTTTTACAGGTTAGTTTTATTTTTTTACGTGGTAGATTAATGCTATAGCTATATTACTAGTGTAGTTGTAGTACGAATGGGTCGGTTCGACCGGGGAAGGACCGCGAAAGGAAGGAGGTAAAATTGCTATTTTACCTCCTTCCTTTCACAGTAGCTTAACGCTGCTGTATTTTGTGCAGTGAGTGTAGAGTACCCTTTTTTATAGAAGAGGAGGCAAACGAGTATACGGTCCACCTGATGTTAAGTGACTACCGCCTTTACTGAAAACGAAGCATTCTATATTAGTCCTCAGGGGTGACAACGGATCTGCATTTTGCAGATTTTTTAAAAAATTACTTTAAAAAGTATTATAAGGTTTGCAGTTGTGCTCGCATCACGGAAAAACTGGTGGAAGCTATGCGAGGGAGTTGAATCTTTGCCTCGCAGTGCATGACTACACAAGATGCTATCGAAAGCTAAACCTAATCAGATCGGGCTTCTTAAAAAGCCGGATGGTAACTTCACTAATAGTGAAACAGAAACATTGGAGTTACTAGCGTCAACCCATTTCCCAGGGTCACACAAGACTTCAGCCTTGAATTCTTTCAGAGCCCTACGAAGGCCTTGCAATGAGGACAGGTGTAGGGCTGCAAAGATAATAAGGCCAAACCTGGTACAGTGGGCTGTTGACTCCTTTGAACCATTTAAATCAAGCGGGGAGGATGGAATAATTCCCATCCAACTACAGAGCGTTATCGACATCCTTCTTCCTTATCTGGTGAAGATCTTCAGAGCAAGTTTTGCATGGGGATATATTCCAGAACGATGGACAATTGTCAAGGTTCTATTTATACCTAAGGCTGGTAGAAAGGACTACGCTTTACTAAAGTCCTTTAGACCTATAAGCCTATCTTCCTTTCTTCTTAAGACATTGGAAAAGGTTATAGATAGATATATAAGGGTTGTAGCTCTAGCTACGAGGCCCATACATTACAACCAGCATGCTTACCTCAGAGGCAAATCCACGGAAACAGCCCTGATCAATGTCATTGACAGGGCCGAAAAAGCACTGGAGGATAAAGAAATAGCTCTTTGTGCCTTTCTAGATATTGAGGGCGCCTTCGACAGTAGCCCCACATCACTGCTGATTGGGGGCCTGACATCTAAAAATGTTGACCCCACAACCATCAGATGGGTGAAGTCGATGCTCTCAAACAGAAAGGCAAAAATAGCGCTGTTTCAAACTTCGATTGAGGTTGCAACTACAAGAGGCTGCCCACAAGGAGGTGTTTTGTCACCCCTTCTTTGGACTCTTGCGGTTGACCAACTATTGTACAAAATGGCAGACATACGCATTGACACATTGGGTTATGCTACCTTGTGATCATTGCGAAGGGCTTTTGCCAAAGTTCTTTATCGTCAATAGTACAAAGAGTCCTAAACACCATAAATAACTGGTGTAGGGATAACAGTTTATCAGTTAATGCTGATAAAACTGTTATAATACCCTTTACCAAAAAGAGACGATTGGACAAATTAGTCCAACCAAAACTTGATGGCAAAGAAGTACCATTTTCCACGGAAGTTAAGTACTTGGGCGTAACAATCGACCAAAAACTAACGTGGAACTCTCACCTTAACAACGTATGCCATAAGGCAAAAATTGCTTCAGGTACGTGGAATCGTTTGGTCGGGAACAACTGGAGCTTGCGTCCCAGTATAGTCCTATAGCTGTACACCTGCATAGTGAGGCCGATCCTCACCTACGCCTCTATTGTCTGGTGTAATGAGGCCAACCAAAAGACGACTGCGGACAGACTAAATAGTCTACAAAGGACTGACTGCTTAATGGCAACTGGTTCTATGCGATCATTGCCTGGAGCGGCTCTTAATGCACTTCTATGCCTAACGCCCCTTGGTCTCTATCTAGACAAAGAGGCGAGGGCTAGTTTGTATAGAACTAAAGCCGAGGGCGGTCTGAGCTTGCTCTCCTACAGATTGAGATC